TATGTCAGCAAACAGTACATCATGAGTGGATATTTAGAATTTGCTCAGATACTCACACAGGGGGGAAAGTATTTGTCTTCTAGACTTTAGTTGGTTCTCAATATTTTTGATTGGTTTCAATGATGGAGCAGTAAAACGTCCATCTCAACAGTTTTATTTGTATTTTATTTTGAAGACTGAGTTTGATGAAGACGTGGACCACGTATTACAAAATATGACCTAAAATATTACACATACGGCTCTCAGTCTTTACAACAATAAGAAGAGGAAACATGCTCTTTAATCATAGATGAAGTTGTAATGTACATTCTGTGTCTCTCATCCACTTCCTCCTAACGTCCCTGACAGTCCTTTTTTTTCCTTTGGTCACTCAGTGTTTTTCTCTTGGCCTTTGTCTGCTCCACTTACAGCCTCAAAGATTTGCTGCCCGTCATTGTTTCACCTAAAAGCCAAATCCAACTCTCTTTGGTTTCCACTACTATACTCTCTCTCTCCCTCTCTCTCTCTCTCTCTCTCTCTCTCTCTCTCTCTCTCTCTGACTCCTCTCCACTACAAGGCAATGACATTGAGGGAATGTGATGTGATGTATTGTAGTGAATAATGTATTCTACCAGAATTGTACAGAGCGCATGGAGCAGCTCTCTCTAGGTTGATCTCTCTCTCTCTCTCTCTCTCCCCCTCCCTCACTATCTCTCTCTTTCATTCTTTTTCTCATTCTCTGTTTGTGAGCGTGTGTTTGTTTAATGATGACAGTGTGTGTGTGTGTGGGTGTGTGCTCACCCAGAATGGGGGAGGGGAAGGAGGAAGAGAAGGGAGCGATAGAGAGTGGGGGTGGTGTGTGTGTGTGTGTGTGTGTGTGTGTGTGTGAGAGAGAGAGAGAGAGAGAGAGAGAGCAAGCTTCCTTTGTAAGATAAAAACATGCAAATTCAGTGGATTATTTTAATGCATTTTTTTTCTAGACCACCATATTCCTGAGTCTTAATCCCTAAAGCAGTTAAAATAAAAATAGTATCTGTACATTTACAATATAAATGTTATTTTTTTCCATCCTTCTCTGTTGTTGTACCGCTGTAAGAACCAGCAGCGGTCTACAGACTGGATTCTTTGCACTTGAATTTCTCCCTGTGTAGTTGGTGTTGCTATGAGTGATCTTCACATTCAGTTACTGTTAAAAAAAAAAAAAGATTAACGCCAGGCAGGTCTACAACTGTCCTGTTACTCAGTAGAAGAATCACTATTGTGATATCTCCTTTCTTACTCTGACTGTACAGTGATAACAATGTCCGGCCTATGAAGAAAACTGAAAGCGCAATTTGTTTGTGCAAGTGAACTGCAGATATAAAATATGCGCATTTATAAACACTTGTGCATTTTCAAGTACACTGGTGTTGTATAATGCAGAAACGGAGACTGTGAGTTGCAGGGTTAAAGTGCCTGAATTACAATTATGCTTTGTTCTGTAGTTTCCAATTCTGCATATGTTTAATAAGAAACTCACATGTTGATATAGTTTTAGTTTTTTTGAAAGATTATCACCTGATGTGTTGTGATCAGAAAAATACATGAATTTATTGTATTGTTTGCACGTCAGTTTATGCCCGTGAAACAAAGGTCTTTCAAGAAATTGTCAGATAATTTAGTTCATCAGTTCATTACATTCATAAAGTCACATATTTGCATCTCATTGTACATTTTTGATGGAAAAATACGTGCAAACAGATGTGTCCTTCACTCCAGAATTGATATTGTCTCCTATAGAAGAAGCTAACAGATGGTGGAATGAATATATTTTCACAAAGGGGAGGAGAAAACATAGTAAAGGTTATTATACAGCTGCCGCTCAACTGAGGCTACTATTTATTAGCCTCTATGAAATTAAGACTGCACTTACTGTATTTGTCTTGAGAGTTATGATAGTGATTGCGTCATAGAATACAATTTATTTTGTTGTAAATATTTAAACCTGTTGTTTACCTGTCCAGGGAGATGGTTTGCTCCCTCAAGTCTCCATCATCATGATGTGGCAGCAACTGCTGCCGTCATCTGCTGTGTAGTGCTATGTCTGAACAGTGTAATTTCTTATAAGGGTGCGTATGAGGAGTTCCAGAGTTAGTCATATAACACTGTAAGACCCAAATGCTAAAACTAGAGAGACACAGGTGTGTAGCGTTTAAAAATTATTAAATGATACCTGGGAAGATACTAAAAATTGTAAATATAGTAAATATCTCAAGAGAGATCAATTTAGCTACAGCATAATTAAAGAAAACTAAACTAAGCAAATACAGGTTTATAAAATCTCGCCAGAAAACCATATTAGATGACAACTAGTCACTGGGTCTGACTTTGGACAACTGTCGTGCAACACTTTCATGTTATACAGACTGATGGAACACCATCGTTGTATCCTCCCACACAACAGATGGAAAAACAGACAGAACATTATTTTTTTATTAACTAATCAGAAACAAGAAAATTCTCAAAAGTTTCCAGCGTGACCATGTGCAGCAGAAGCCGGTAAATGTGTGCGTTCTCGTCTCACTCATGTAAGACACAATGGGCATAATTGAGTAAATGTAGTTAAGCATTTGAGCGAGCAGATTCAGCCACTGTGGGATGGTTGATATTGTACTTAGGCAGAATATTTCCTCGGGCAATTCATTAGAGGTAAATTATTGAGCGGCTCAGACAGAGCTAAGGTGAAATCTTAGTTATTATTTCATGGAGTTTGTATTCCTAGGGCTCTCCAGTTTAAGAGTATTAAAAATTACATACATGGCTTCCCATAAGTTACCAAAAATTCCAGTTTAAGAGTATTAAAAATTACATGCCTTCCCATAAGTTACCAAAAAAACTCATTGTTTTTGAATTAGTTATATGTATATATAAATACATTTGCCTTTCATTAGATTTTTTTTTTACTGCTTTCAGAAATGTAATTTTAGCCTTTTTTTTTACTGCTTTCAGAAATGTAAATGTAAATGTAAGGTACATTTTTACCAGTCAATTGTTGGCTAGCATTTTGACTCAGTTTTCCCTTACAAAAGATGAGAGGTTGACAGTTACTGTATGTGCTTCAAGCTTACAGAAAACCTGAAGTTACTCAACTGACCTCTTGTGAGAAGGCAGAAGTGAGAGCTGGCACACTCATACATATAAATCAGTCTCTGTTTGAATGGTAAAGCTCTCTCAAACAGTAGAAGTCATTTTTGGTTCTTTTGGTCTTAGTGGATAATCCACTCTCCCCAGATTTGAAGTCCACAAATAATTTTGGTAGATGTCGAGAAGTGTAGGCTACAGGTAACAAAAATAAATACATGCAGTTCTTTTTAGTTGCATAATTAGTCATATTACACATTTTTCAGAAAGACAACCTGCCACAGTGCCATGACTGGCTCTTTTGTCAAACTGTGAATGTCCTCTGAAGAAGGTTCAGGGACCAAACACTAACAGTCTAGGTATCTCAGTGTCAAACAAATACAGAACCTGAACATGTTTATTTAACTCTAGATCAGCCCATGCAAATATCCTTTGTTTACGTGAACTGGTGCTCGGTGACCATTTACGTCTGCAGGAGCGTTCTTTAACCAATCCTTTTTTTAAAAACGCTAACGTCTGAATTTCTTTTGTGTTGTTACTTTTGCTTTTGCTAGCCTTAGCTTTGTTGAGCACTTGTCTGTAAAAAAAAAAGTCATCTTCATATGTTGGTTTTCCAGTGATGCAACTTAAAGGCCACTGAGGTTTTATTGAACATCTTGTCCACCTACACACCACCATGTAACACCTCAGAAATGTGGGGGACGTTGGAAGGTTATTCACACTGCTCTCTGCATTTTTCACATTATTCATTTAGTTGGTGGTCTGAGGTTGGGCCATGCGGCCTGTCTGCACTTAAGAAGTCAGCAGATGTTACATACAGTTTCAGATGCCTCCACCCCACCGTTGGGCCCCTCTATGTGTCTTACTGTAATTCTATAGAACTTTTTCTTGATTTAAAATGTGTAAAGTTCAGTTATTACAAAACTTCACAACATATGACACAATTAAAAAACATCATTTTTCACAAACAACCATTGGTTATCTCATGTCCATGTATTAGCCAATTTCAAATTCTACGTACCAACTAAATGATAGACCATTCAGTCCATTATTAACAAATTATATTATTAAAATGTGCAGAGTGGGAGCTTGACTGTCCTGCCTGCAGTCCAGATGGGTCTCCTATTAAAATGTCTGGAGCTTCATGAAGAGGAGAATCACATTGTGACGTGATATGTTAAGCAGCTCTCCTTTCCACACAATAGAATAAATTACATTGGAGAATGGTGAGGAGCATGAATACCATTTCTGTGCAATAATCAATACTCCTATTGTACAAATAAACTATATACCTAACTGACTCTTGAACGTCAGTGTGCTTTTCCAAATTATACACGTTGGTTTTTATGGCCTGTTGTATGAACTTTTCTGGGAGTGCCGTTCGTAGTCGCTACACTGTGATCACTGAACTAAACATGGAAAGAAAATCCACTCGGCCCTCCATGATACTCTCCAGCTCCTTGGCTCAGTGCCAGCGCTGAGCCCCACTGTCTTGTCGGGGTTTTGTGCATACGCTTGTCAGAGTGTGTCTAAGAGTGAACGGAGGTGGGCAGGGGGAGGGGGCGTGTAGAGTGGTGGAGGGGATGTCAGCTCATTAACCTCCATTCTTCCTCTACAGCACGGCACTGCCTAGAGTCACCGTGTAAGTCTCATGTCATTACTCCTCCCCCTGCACGTGTGAGTTGGGGATGAGGAAAGGAGAAGAGTAGGGGAGAGGGGTGCCATCGGAGGAGGGGAGAAGGAGGCAAAGGTTCATGACGGGGGCCCGTGACATGTGCCTTTACAAATGCCCTGCTTGTACCCCGCAAACTAAAGCCCCGCCATCTCCTTTCCTTCCCCACTTTTGTCTTTTCTGTCTCTTCTGTATCTCTCCTACCTGCTTTCTCTCTCTCTAACCACAGGCCCAGTACAGTGTGGGTGAACGCGCAGTTAGGCTCCACACTGCCCCCTCTCCAGGAATCAGTCCTGCTAGGAAAAGACTGCCCATTGCTTTGGTGAGATACAGTAGACAAACCCCTGGTTAATTCAAAGTTCGCCCTGGGTCCTGTGGCGTCTAAAACGATGCAGTAACATTATAGTTGACCCCAGAACGAAAAAAACTAACGCAAGGGTCTTCAACAGGTGTCGGGGAGCACTAGAAGTACTTCTGGGGCACAAATATTTCATGCAAAAAAACAAGTTACATTTATACACTAGTAAAACTGAATTCAATAACCTATATTGGAGAAAATATATGTAAAACTGAAAGGGTCAATGCTCCATCACTTAATCAGTTTAGGGTCTTTAGGCGTAAAGACCTGGCCTAATGCAGTGACCATGACGATAACATAGATGTTAGGTTTCCAAGTTTAGTTTTACACACCAGGTTATGCTTAGTGGGAAATCAGTTACTCAGTGGCTCTGTCTGCTGTAGTAGTCTTGCTACATTGTACCATAGTCTATACCAGAAAATATGTACTTTATTCATAGCAAAATGTTTTGCTCGAAAGTGACACCTTTGGCTAGTAGTGCTGCGGCAATGGGAATTTTCATGACCTGCACTGAACAGTGCTGTTATCGAAACTGAGATCAGGAGGTTATTATATATATATATATATATCTGTGTTTCTTTGAATTTATTCAACTTCCCAGAAAAAGAAAGATTTTATCTGCATTTATACCCAAACCCTCTGCTGGGAATAACAGTTTATTTCAAGACTTAACTGTAAATATGTGAACACATACAAAGGTGCGAAACACACCCTGTTTTTGTTAGCGCAGGGTTGCGCTTGTGTTTGCATCAAGAAACAATTAAACTCTTAACAACTAAAGCTTAAGTGTTTTCATTGGTCATTAAGGACTTTAAAACTCATTTGTCACAGAGAAAAAAAGCTGAAAATACTTCATGAAACCCGATTTTCTCCTAGTGAACATTAATCAGAAGACGATGCAACTTTGCTTCCAATAAATATCTTTTATTTAACTACACAGATGATCTACTGCCTGGTGAGATATTGCTGGTTGTAATCTCATAAACTTCCCTGGAAACCGTAAAAGCCTTATGTTAATATTTGTCCACTTATTTTACTGTCGCTTTAATTATTTGCTGATTGGAAGAACACATCACAAACTGATTTCAAGACTTAGTAGTACGACACATCACTCCCACGCTATCTCACTGTATTTCCAATGGACCATGTTAAAATCAGGTGTAAATAAAATACAGTTTGTTTTAAGCTGTGATATTTACACAAAACTGTCCTCCTCAACTGTCTCCACACGTTTTATTATTATATCTTTGCCAAGGGTTAGGCTGCGTTACCTTTATTTGATCAGATTCTTCAGCTCTCAGTAGTAAAAACATTTGGAAGAAAGAGCAAAAAAAAAATAAAACAACCTTGACCTGAAAAATGAGAGTACAACTTAAGGGAAGGTATATTTTTGGGCATAGACATGGTAGATTGTGACCTGGTGTGAGGGGATTTTCCTAGAATTCAAAAAAAGAAGGAATTCTCAGGTGGAAAAACTCAAATGTAGGATATGAATCTTTGATAATGTAATTCTAAAATATATATAATTTTTTTAAATTGTTCACAGCCCCTATATTTCATGACAAAAACTTTTACCATAAATATTTGTTTTTAGCATCTCTCCACTCTTACATGCCTAATTCTATGCAAATGAATGTGAGCAGTAGCTTGCGATAAAGTGTCAAATTATATGCCAGAGGAAACCAGACTTTTTCCCCTTCTGCAGTTATCTGATGCTGCGGTGAGCAAAGGCCAAGGTGTGGGGTAATGTGACATTCAGTCTTCCCATTATCTCCTCTCACTGCTGTTAACCTCAGTTAGTTAAAACTGCCTCTAGCTCACAGGTTGTCCACTGCCAGAGAAACCTCAGTGATATAGACAGGACTTTTGTGAGGACAAGTACATGATGTTTGAAAAAACTCAGTGAGGACACACACACTTACACACACACACACACACACACACACAAACGTGTTGTCACCACAGATATTATGTATCAGCCAGACTCCTAGTAGCACCTAAGCTGTTAAAACCAGTACTGCTGGGCCTGGCTCTAAAGCACATGTAATACCACTGTATTTGACACAGAGAAGGTGTTTCCCAGCATTGGTTAGCTAAAAGACACCATGACAGGATGAGGAAGGCCACGTGGGTGGCACTTTGATCAGACAATACATTGTATTTTTTTTCTTTTCTTTTTTCACACGTGGTGCCCTATATGTTTGTGGCCTTATTTCCACATTGCTCCAGATATTTCACCAACTAGTGCACGTTGTATGAAGTGTGTATGTATGTGGAAGTGTAGAGTTTATGCCCAGAGTTAACTCCAGCTTTAGCTTCTTCTTCGCTCAACCTTTTCATTAGAGCACTGACCTTGTCCCAGTAGTGTAGGACAGAATATAATAATTTATTTTGGATGTCTTCCAAGTCTTTTAATACAGCTTAGTAGGCAATCTCTCACGAAAGTCTATTAATATTAGGTTGTTGTTAGCTAGCTAGTTTGCATATAGGGCAGCTTTGTAGTTTTGCAAATTTCACCCCTTGTAGATATTTTTCTGCAAGTAAGGTACAGTCTATCCTTTATGATTATGCTGTGAAAAAAGGATTGATACTTTGATCTGAGAGTGTGACAAGACGTTAGCATTAGCTGATGATGATACTGCTGCTTCCATGCCTGCAGGGCAAAATTAAAAACTCTACTTTTTGATTATAGCATGGAATGCAACTCAATATAGTCTTGTTTTAGAGGTGGTGTTTACATGGCTAACCTACAACTTCAAATCCTGGAGAGAAAGTACTGTTTCATCCGTGTGTTTAGGAAAAATACAGACCTTTGGAGTACTTTCCAAATACAGACCCAAGAGTGGGGAGGTTAGCAAGCTTCTGCATCTTTGTGTGAACGGACCAGGGTGACACGATACGATTTAGCTGTTTTTTAACCTTACACCGTCATGTGCTAGCCGTGTTAGCATATTAGCTGTCTGTCTTTATTCATATGCTTAAAGGGTTTTAGTGTTTTAGTACTTGATAGCGTAAATGCTGCTTCTGCTACCTGACTTTAGTGTGTTAGCCTGCCTAACATATTGGAATGTACATTTTGGTTGTAGTCAGACTAACAGAGAAACATCTGGTTTTCTCTAATAGTGTAAATGCACCTTGTGTCTTTTCTAAGCAGTCTAATTGGCAACAAACTTTAATGCTTCACCACATGTTTCTGGCTCCCTGTGCACTTTCAAATACGAAACTAAATCATATTTAGTTATATTATGGTTTCTGTACTACAGCGGAAAATCTCTCCCCAACTCCTACAGTGCATAATGCTCCACAGTGTTTAACATCAATCACCCTCTTTTACCATCTGCCATTTGGTTCTAAATCAGGACAGACAGAGAGAATTAGTTTGCCACAGTGTCTCTTTCTATGAGACTTGGCAGGTTCGTAAGCATGAGTCAGCTGAGCGCTGGTTACTAATGCCATGTTCTGTGTGTTATACTTCTGCCAACAGCAGCCACAAGTGTTTATCACTGAGCTTCAGTTCTGATCTGTTTCTGTGCTTTTTGTTTGCTTTTTCGTATGGTGTGTATTTTGTACCAAAAAACAAACTACTGTCGAAAATCATTTCCTTTTGAGACGTGAAAATAAAAAACGAACAAATGAAGTGCGATAGAGAATAACCTCTTCTCAGAGCCACCGACTGTGCTTCACCATTGTCTATTTATAAAACACTTTTTGAATTTACAAACTCAAAGTTAACCTGAGTGAAAATGGAAGCAGAATGTTATTTAACACACCGCTTACCGTACACAAACACAAAAACACACACGTACACGCATTAATGCTCTCCCCTTTGCTTCTTAAGCTCTCCTCTCTGGTAACTGTTGGTAACTGTTTTGGTGTTGCCTCACTGCAACGGAAAGTGGATGAATGTGAGCTTCAGTCTGTCTGTATCAGTTCAAACGGATCAAAGTCACACTCTGGTAGTAGTGGACCATCATCAGTGAAGGTCAGCTAATGGATTCCCATTTCACTGATCTTATTTAATTTCTTTAACATTAACTTGAAATCTATTGCACCACATTTTTTAACTGTCCTTAAAAAAGGACCCCAATGCCTTTAGGGCATCTTTCAAATACATTATATTTTATATACAGTCCTAATACAAAACAAAATCCACATCACAATGTAATTAAATCCATAACTAAAAATTCAGAAAGTGCTTTTGTGTCATGTCAGTATCTGCTGATGTCATTTCTGTGCTCCACTGACCAAATAAACATCTCGAGCGTTTTGCATATGAAAATGAAGCGCGCGGTGGATAAAGGTGTGCATGCCTGTGATGCTGGCCGTTGATGGACATGACCCCGGTGCTACCTGAGTGTGCATGTCTGAGTGTGCGTATTGGGTTTCGCATTTGTGAGTTTGAATGTGTGTGCGTGTGCATACACTCTACGTTGGATCACACTTTCACACCCAGGAAGAGGCCCTGTTTCCCTTATCTAACGACAACAGAGCATGTGTCGCCATGGCCACAGGCTGTGCTTTTTATGGGCTGAGTGTGTGTGTGTGTTTGTGCATGAGTGTGTGTGCATGTCATGTTCATTGTTTGCCCATGTTCATTGTTTGCTTGGGGCGTGGTGCAAAGCCAGAATCGTTACAAGTGTCTCTCTCTTGCTCTATCTTTCTCTCATTTCACTTTGAATGTCTATGTAAAGCTCGTTCTTTCTTTCTTTCTTTCTTTCTTTCTTTCTTTCTTTCTTTCTTTCTTTCTTTCTTTCTTTCTCTCTCTCCTCCCTCATCATTCTCTCATATAGTTCTCTCTTCTGACTGTGAATCATCAGTAGCAACTTAGGCAACATCAAAATTCACCGACACATTGTCTCAGATTTAGGTTTCTCAGGTCGTCGCCACAGCCTAATTGAACAGAAGATGAGGGAGAGAGAGAGAGGTATAGAAAAGGGAAATAAAGAGAAGAGGGGGAAGATGAA